AACGGTGTATGGTTTTCATGTTTGTAACTTGTCTGTTCCCCCCCCCCCTTTTGAACTGTGAGCCGCCCTGAGTCCCCTCAGGGAAAAGGGCGGCATACAAATAAAGTAAATTGAATTGAATTGAATTGAATATTCAGAGAGCAGAAGTCACCTAATATAACCAACTTAATGACCATTAATTTAATTGGCCTACTCCTACAGGAATGGGACCCTATTAATGTAGTTAAGAAATGGTTGAGCAAATCACAGTGCTGATGCTCACGTGCAAGTGAAAAAAGGGGCAATTGAGGATGCCATTAAAACTGCGATTTGCCAATACCTTAAGTTTTATTGTTTTTTGTTAAGTATTTAACAGTTTTTCTTTAATATTTTAAAACTCTTGTAACAATCTAGTTTGTGTACCTCATTTATAATAAATTAATAATAAACTACCTTTTGGTATATCTTTTTTATACTTGAAACTCCTTAGGGCAAAGAAGTGATGTCGAATTGGCCATGCCCACCCAGTCACATGACTACCTGGCCATGACCACCAACCCACGCCCACAGAACCAGTTGTTAAAAAATTTGAATCCCACCACTACCTTTAATAACATACTTTCAGCGCATGTACACAATTTTCAACAAATACACTATATTGCCAAAAGTATTCGCTCACAACTGAGTCTGATTACGTGGATGGGAGAGCGAATATTTTTGGCAATATAGTGTATCTCCCAATAAAGTAGCTGTCAAACATTTGTAGACTCGAAAAGCTATCTAATTAAACAATTGTATGTATGTAGCATTTTGTTTACAACTTGTACAATGTTTTGATTTAGTTGTACTTTATACAGGTTCAATTTACTGGTAAAACTGTATTCTCTGTTCATGAGGCCACAAGATGAGATCCAAAATGTAAAAAATGAAAACAAATCAAAAAAAGTTCAAACTTTGGAATGAAATAGCCAATTAAATGAAATGTAAACATTTGATCAATTTACAGACACACTACTTTGAAGAATAATTTCCTGAAAAATATTTTATTGAGAATGTCAAAAATATCCAATCAGACTTCAGGTAAAATTAAACTTGTTTTATTTACTTTTATACCATACCAGTTAGGAGCAATGACACAAATGACATGAAGGCAAAATTATCATGTCACTTACTAAAAGATGCTAATCCTGTTTTGCTAAAAAGTCATGAAAGAAGAGGATACCATTTCCCAATTTATTTTTTTCTTTAAATGTTAGGGTTAGGATTAAAGCCCATGTGAGGTAAGTTATTTTTTAAAGCATATTTTCCATTGCATCTCAGTTTTAATTTCTTCCAAATATTTACAGAGATTGCCAGAGAAGTGTCTAAAATAATCCATGAAAGCTTGTAAGCAAAACTCACAACGCAGAGAGAAATCAATCCAAGAAGAAAATTAAGACCTTTTCATAGCTGATATCCTACATTTTATATAGTTTTCTTGAGGATTTATTTTGCACTATATTTTGAATATTTAAAAAACAAGTTATTTTTGCTTTGTTGTCAAAGTAGGATTTTGAGACAGAAGTGACAAACTGGGTTCACAACAGGCAACTTTTTGTTAATGGAGTCAAACTATTTGACAATTATTATGGAGAAGACAATTTGTCAATTTAGTAATTATATTTTCTAAAACAGTAGCACTGGGATTTAAGTAGCTATACTAGAAAAAGACTTTGTGACTGTTCAAATAAGCTGCTCTCAAGGAACTGATGTTTTCTGCATAGAAAACAGAAACTGTTTAGGTTTACCCCCCACCTTAAAAAAAAAAAANACCATATTTGGGCTCTTGGCAACCAAGCCTATTTACAGTTGCTTGCAGTATTCCATAGCCATGTGACTGAATTTTATGACAGTTTTGCTGAAAACCATCATTTACTTCCAGCTTTCAGCAAAACCACATTCATAATAAACCACTGGTTTGCTTAATGACCACAGATTTCTTTAACAACCATGGGAGAAAAGTTAAAAAGAATGATTTTATGATTTCACAAGTTAAACCATGATGGGCAGGTTCCATTATGATTCTAATTCAATGACTATCGGTAACACTGATTTATCCGCAAAAATGAAGCCTTGTAGTCTGTTCATAATTTCCCTATCTTAAAATGATGCTATGATTGCCTTTCTGATACTGCATGGAATTGACAACCTCTTTTAAAATAACAAAGGAGGCGAATTAAATTGGTTATGTATTGAGTTCTGTAAAAAGGATGGTAGATCAGAAAAGGAGGAAAAATGGAAAATCTACCTTCAATTGAAATCTAACCAATACTTTGAATGTACATTATGGCATGTTTACTTAAGTCCCCTAGAGTTAAAAGGGCTCACTTTCATTAACATACATATGTATCTAGAAGAAAGACCTTCTGGAAAAAAATAAATGTTCTATTTCCAGAAATTCATGAATAGGATACGGCTGTATGCATCAGCTTAGACAACATCAGTTAGTTTGAAGAGGAAATTATTTTGCTTTTGGTCTTTCATTTCTGGGGGAAGAAAATATATTTTCTGCCTTATTCGGATTAATATCCATTATTTCTAACAACATTTTAGTTTTTAGGTAGAAAATATAAGAAATGAAGCTTGCAAAATGGAAGTTATATGGCAGAATAACTAAGGCTATGTTAAGCCAGACATTATTATTGAAAAGAATCTTGAAAATGGGACACAAGAAGTCGCCATCACAAGGGGTCTAACAATCACCCAACTGTGAGTTTGATTTTCATGCTTACAAATAAAGGATTTTGTATTCTGAACTCTTTACCTTGCACACAAAAATAAATTTCAAGTTTATGGGAAAGGAGGTTCACATCCTGCTTTGAAATCCTGGCTAGAACATGCATATGTGTTCCCCAAAGAGAAGGCACCAGCATGGCAATGTACCATAATACAGCAATAGCAATTTCTGGAAAACCTAGAAGCTGGTGGTAGCCAAAGGCTCTTTTGCCATGAAGCCTGATGTATTATAATGAGAAACAAGCAAGCAAGCAGAGCAGTAAGCAGAAGCAGCTACATATAGCAATAGCAAGAGCAGTTAGACTTATATACCACTTCATAGGGCTTTCAGCCCTCTCTAAGCGGTTTACAGAGTCAGCATATCGCCCCCACAATCTGGGTCCTCATTNTAAAACAGTAGCACTGGGATTTAAGTAGCTATACTAGAAAAAGACTTTGTGACTGTTCAAATAAGCTGCTCTCAAGGAACTGATGTTTTCTGCATAGAAAACAGAAACTGTTTAGGTTTACCCCCCACCTTAAAAAAAAAAAATACGGGACAAACAGGTGTGCTGGCCATATATAATCAACAAATGGGATTTAGAACTATTATGTCAAAATATATATTTTTGTCACTGATGTATATCTTGTAAAGCGTTGGAAAAATACAAACTCTTTGAAAAAGTACAGATTATGTTTTATCATGCAAATTGATTGTTCTACACATTATGTCCCAATACAGGAAAAAAGACTATGAGCATTTAACTATAAGCAGATTTAAATCTGTCCTATGCCGGTCTGATACAGATTAAGTAGTATTTTTATTGTCGAAAGCAGAAAGTAAAGAAAAAGTTAAGAAAATGAAAAAGAAAAAGCATGCATTTCAATTATGTTAGGGAAAAGCTTCTTATGATTAAATAAACAATTTCTTACAGTACTCAAGGTGCTTTTTCAAGAGCTGTTTTGAAATTGTCCCAAAGCTGTTGTTCAAAAGGCATCTGTACTTTGTTGGTAACAAAGAAAGTCCAGTTAACTTCTGAAAAACACCTTTGGGACAACAATGAACTGGATGACTGATAATCTCCATAGATGTTTAGCAGAAATTATATCAGAGTATGGGACAGGAAATTTGAAGAAGCTATACCTCAAGTCCTTCTGTAATTTAAACAATGACATCATTTCTCTTAGGCCGTTGGAAGTAACATAACAAAATAAATATCAAATTTATTTATCCCACTTCCTGAAATGTGGCTCCTGATCATTTGCAATCTGTTTCTGTGAAATTCTGCTCCAAGTACAGATAGTCCTCAACTTATGACCACAATTGAGCCCAATATTTCTATTGTTAAATGAGACATTTGTAAAGCGGGTTTTGTGCCATTTTACGATCTTTCTTGCCTCAGTTGTTAAGTAAATCATTGCAGTTGATAAGTTAATAACCTGGTTGTTAATTGAACCTGGCTTTCCTGTTGAGTTTGCTTGTCAGAAGGTCGCAAAAGGTGATCACATGACCTGGGGACACTGCAACTGTCATAAATATGATCCAGTTGCCAAGCATCTGAACTTTGATCACATGATCATGGGGATGTTGCAAAGGTCGTAACTCTGAAAAATGGTCATTAGTCACCTTTTTCAGTTCCGCTGTAACTTTGAACGGTCACTAAATGAACTGTTGCAAGCCAAGGATCACCTGTATTTCTTGCCATTCCCTCACCCAACTCCATGTAATAAGATTGGTTCAAATACATCACATGCTGTGCACTGAAGTGGCAGATACCAGCAACTTAGTGATATATAAGATAACATCATTTAACTGTTTATGTAAACAAAAAAAAGATAGGTTTGAGACAATTTTATTTATTTGTGTCCAAAAATTCTCAAAATCAAATTACCATCTCTTCCAGATCTATTCAATAGTCCTGAATTTCCTCCTCAGTTTTTGTGCCAGTATTTCCCTCCCTCCATCCCTTTGGTGGGTAATTGTAGAAAAAGTTCATTTTTGCAAGTCAACTCCAAGATGGCTCTCAATAGTCATTGCTGTGTTGTTCCCTGGGATCTCAAAACAAGGGAAAATTAGCCCTTCTTGCTACTCAATCAATTTCTTAGCTTTGAAGAAATGCCGCAGATAAAAGACTTGCCAAGTTGCCAGTCCAATGAGGCAGAACATTGAGAAAATGCTGAAGTACAGTACTCGAATGTTTGTAGATTCTGAAAGAAAAAAGCCCATTGTTAGAAAAAAAATGCCAAGAAAATTTGAATCCCACAGTCTATTATGTCTTCACTTGAACTGCTGATATTTTCAGTAAAAAGCTATTTGGGCTCAATGGACAAGATATAATTAAAAGAGGTTCTGTTTTTATTCAACAAATACAATTCAAATTAGAAAAAAACATGCACAGATATAGACTAAGTGGTATCTGATGCAACAGCAGTAACAGAGAGGGATTTAGAAGACCTAGTGGACAGTCACCTAGGTATGCAGCTGCCAAAAGGCCATAAAGTCCTAGGCTGCATCAACATCATCAAGATCACGTGAAGTGTTAGTATCACTTTATATGGCTTTGGTAAGACTACAGTTGGAATACTGCATCCAGTTTTGGTCCCCCTTATACAAAAAAGATGTTGAGACTTCAGAAAGAGTGCAGAGGAGAGCAACATAGATGATTAGAGGAATGGAGGCTAAATTTTACAATGAACTGTTGCAGGAACTGAGAATATCTAGGCCAGGGATGGCGAACATTTCGCCATTGAGTACCAAAAAGGTCATGCAGAAACGTCGCCCGCGAGTGCTAGCCAGGCCACACTCTGGAAAAGCCAAACATCCAGGTTCTAGCGCACATGTGCACCCAACAATCAACTAGCTGGTGCGCAAGTGCAGGTCGGTTTTCGGCACTGCTGCGCACACGAAGGGATCGTGCTCTGAAAAAGCCAAACTTTCAGATTCTAGCGCACATGTGCACCCGACAATTAACTGGCTGGTATCCACATGAATGCCAGTTTTCGGCACTGTTGTGCATACGAAGGACAACTGATCATTGTGCGTGCATGGGCACCAGAAAACTCAGAAGACAAACAGGCAAGGCTACATGTGCCGGGCGACATGGCTTTGCATGCCACTTTGGGCAAGCGTGCCCGTAGGTTCACCATCACAAGGCAAATGAAGAGATAGATTAGGGATGACATGATAACAGTCTTCTAATATTTGAGAGCCTACACAGATTAACCTACTTTCCAAAGCACACGAGGGCAAGACAAAAGTCTGACATGTTAAGGTAGTGAATACGGGTTACCTTGACTTACAACAATTTATTTAGTGAGCATTCACTCTTACAACGGCACTAAAAAAAAAGTGACTTATGACCATTTTTCATTCAGCCATTGCAGCATCTCCATGGTAACATAATCAAAATTCAAATGCTTGGCAAATGGCTCATATTTATAAGGGTTGCATATCCCGAAGTCATGTAATCACCTTTTGTGACCTGACAAGCAAAGTCAATGAGAAAGCCAGATTCATTAACCACAGTGTTATTAACAACTGCGGCAAGAAAGATCATAAAATGGGACAAAACTCACTTAACAACTGTCTCGCTTAAAAACATAAATTTGGAGCTCAATTGTGGTTGTAAGTTGAGGATTACCTGTATTTCAAACTATTTCAGCCTCAAGATATAAAAAGAGTGCTTGGAGTTTTGGAGTGGAGGATATAATTAGGTCACCTTTGGTAATTTTTTATTTCAGTATAATTTCCTTTCTGTGGAAATTGGGAATAAGTGAGTGTAGGACCCTAAGGTCAGCTTTAGCACATGCAGCAGAACTTCAACTTTGATGAATGTAACAATTGATCACATTTACACTAATGACTAGTGGGATGAGCCTTCTCTATGCTGATAATGTACACTGAAATTCATCAGGTACCTACTATTACAGCTTTCAGACACAACTTTGCTTAGTTCTTCCCTAAACGACTGTCAGGTGTTTATATTTTCTTTTCTAGTTCACCTTTTGGTATGTTTTTTGTTTGATATTAATTTATTGTTTTTATCTTGTACTTTATTATAAACTTTGAAATGCAACTGTAAAGGAAGTTATATTCTTATTAAATAGTTAAATAAAACAATAGAATAATGGAATATTTAATTATCATGTTTTGTATAAAAACATTATTCATATTCTTTAGGCAAACAAACGTAACAGTGTTATCCCACATGTACATACCATTAGTATCCCGCATCTCTTCTTCTCGCTTTTTCATGTATGCAAAGTCATTAACAATAGATTCTGAAAGATCTTCCAGTCGTCGCAGCTCCAGCTCCAATGGTTTTAGCTTTTCCACTTTAGCAATCTGATAAAAGAGGACATTATATGACAATGATCCAGAAGGTATCAACCCATTCCCATTTAAATGTGAATCTCTACTGGAACACAGTCCACTATGCCAACAAATAAAACATGGCATCCCCTAAGGAGATGCTTTTTATTAACATATTTTTTGTGAGTACAGATAGTCCTCATTTATTGACTACAATTTTGAGTGGCAATTGTGTCACTAAGCAATATGGTCATAAAGTAAAGTCACATGACCACACCTGACATATGCCTTCTTGTCGGTTCTGGCTGTGATTATTAAACGAATCGCTGCAGGTTGTTAAGTGGCATGTCATGTATGCATGTCTTGCGATTTCCTGCTGGCTTCCCCATTGACTTTCCTTGACACCAACTGTAAAGACACCAACTGTAAAGGTTGCAGATGGCAATCACTTGGCCACAGGATATTGTGATTGTGATAAATGTGCGTTCATTGCCAAACACCTGAATTGCAATCACATAAATGTGGTGATGCTACTATGGTTTTAAGTCTCTTTTTTTCAGAACCACTAACTTCACTGAACAGTCACTGAACACCAGTAGTCAGCAAATGAGGACTGCCTTTTCTACATCTCTTTCAGCAGATTTCTAGGGCAATAAGGGCAGCTGAGAATTATTGCATGTTTATTTATGAAGATGTGATACAAACATTTCCTCCACCATCTATTGTGTAGCAAATTAATTTCAGATTATTTTTCAGCATTTTTGTACTAATCCCATCTATGTCTTCATCAGTAATATGAAGATTCCTGATCTCAAAATACAGTTATTTTTTTAAACCTTAAGACAAAACTGCCCTAATTGAAAGCAGACAATAGATACATCTGGATCAGCATTGTCTATTCTGACCAGACATGTGTCTCTACATCCAGCCACTTGAGATCTTTTTAATGCCAGGAAGCTCACAGCCAATACTCCATCTTTTACCACAATAAACAGTCCAATTATTGCTTGGCTATCATGAGATTATAAAGAATGTACCCAGAATATAAAGGGCAGAATTTCAACATCTCTAAAATCCTATTTCCTATCCTTCATCACCAGGCACAAATGTTCATAGGCATAAAATTGGCACAAGTAGTAGTTCTAATATCTGGAAATAATTCTATTGCTAAGCAACCAATTCTTTCCTGAAGCCCAAACCACTTTCTTTTTCCTATATAATACAGTATACAACTCTGGTTGAACACTACAGGATGGCAGAAAATTGGACAAGGTACAGCAAACTAACTCCCTGAAACCACAAAACATATTACGATCCAATGTAGGTTTATTTGGTATAAACTACTTATTGTTTCTTTTTTAATTAGCAGTGTAATATTTCAGTCAATTGGGATAGATATAGAAACCTTAATTTTCTGCCTATTCTGCCTATTCTTTCTGCAGAGCTAGCAGCTTGTTGGAATCATGGTAAAAGGGGAGATTAAAAATTCAGGCTCATTCCACCTAATAATCCTTTACAGATGGTGATCTGGCTATATGACAACAGCAATCTGCAACATCAGGGATACTGTATTATAAATGAGGATTAAAGATGGACTCCAATCTTGAAAGGGGAGTAATTTTCTATTCATTTCCCTCAACTTCACCTATAAATAGCACTAATGAGCAAGGCAAATATCCATATTTTCCTTCTTTGACAGTAATTTTAAAAAATGTTTCAGCTGCTATGATTCCCATAGAAAGATTCCCAGAAGAAAATTTGACTTCCATCACTTACAAATCAAACCTTTAATTTTTCTGTCTTGATGACAGTTTAGTGAGTTCTAGCTGATTTTACCAAACATCTAAATAATTATTAATAACATTGAGGAATTTTAAGATACATTTGTCTCTCAAATGGAAATGAAATCTCACATGACCAGAAATACCTCATGGAAGAAGTGGCTTTAGGAATTTTATGTTTAATTGCAAGAGGATTTTGACTGTAATCCTAAATATACTTCCTACTGAACATTTTCTTCTAGTTACTTTGCTACCAAGCACTGTAACATAGATG